CAGATATAGCAATATTAGCGGGAATTGGATGGGTATTAGGCTATGTATTATTGCCTGGAATCGCATATTTATTACCCGACTTTCGATACATGCAATTCATAGGAGCCGTTCTTACGATTGTAATGTTGATCTGGTTTTACTATCTCCATGAGTCGCCGCGATGGCAGTTGGCTAATGGACAGGTGGATAAGGCAGAGATTGTCATTAAAAAGGCATTACAACAAAATGGCAAATCTGTGGATAATTTAAATAAACAATTAACACAATTGGCTACAAACATGGGCGCATTATCTGTAATTTTAATACTTTTTATATTACTATACATTAATCCGGAGTTAATTTACTAATATTTGTTACTAATTAGGATAACAAAAATGATAAAAATCACAATATTATTGATTTGGTCAGAACTCCAAATCTGAGAAAATACACACTAATTATATGGTATTCATGGATTGTAAACGCATTGATTTATTACGGCCTCAGTTTTAATATGTCTGATTTTGGGGGCAATTTCTACGTAACATTCCTGTTGTCGGGTCTGATTGAGTTGCCCTCACAACTACTCACACCGCTATTTCTCCGATACATTGGGCGACGAAAACTGTACGCAATATTTATGGCGATAACTGCGGTCTCATTGGTGGCAGTGATTCCCTCCCAGAGTTCATGGCTTCGGGTGTTGTTTGCATTGCTCAGCAAATATGGAATCCAAAGCGCGTGGAATGTGTTCTTCGTTCACGCGTCCGAAATATATCCCACAGTTATTCGCAGCACTGGTAGAGGTGTGGCGTCAGTCGTCGGTCGCATCGGATCTATTGCCTCACCCTTTATGGGAGATCTGGTATTGCTTTGCGTTTTTTAAAATTTATTAATAATTTTATTTATTATGTTTTTACCGTTTTTTATTGTTCATAATTTTTAATTATATTTAGAAATTGTTAACAAGTTTATCATTTGTGATGATATTATATGGTGTACTGACGGCTGTGGGCGCTATACTAGGCTTGTATTTACCCGAAACTAAAGACAAGGAAATGCCCGATACTATAGAAGAAGCTGAGAATTTAGGAACTAATAATATTATTTAATTAAAATTATAACAATGTTATCATAATTTCTTTTATATATGCTTTTTAATTAAAAATAAAATATATCTAACATTGTATTACAGAATTTTAAAATTTTTAAATTATTAATTTATTTCTATTAAGAAAAGTTTTTATTTCTTTACATCATCTTTAAACGGTTATCAAATTTTATTTTAAAATTAATTGTGTGTTAAACAATACTTTTAATCTAAATATTGAAACACAGATATAATAATAATTGTTCACATATATTATAATATAATATTATGTCATATAATATTAAAATTTGATTTCCAATTAAATAGATAGTTACAGTTGTAGATACAATGTAACTTAAGTTAAGTGCAAAGAGTGTAATTTCATATTAATAATAAAATAATTTTAAATTACGTGATCATAAATAATTTGTTATTAGATAACAATGTAAGTGCAATGACCAATGTAAAATTGCTGATTGAATAATTTTAAATGTTCTACATATTTACTATTGATATATACGCGGAATAATTAACATATAAATTGATAAAATATTATATCTAGAAGTACTTAAATTAAAATTGTAAGTTTTTCATTTAAGTATTAATGTTATTCTTTATTTCAAGTACCGTTTTTATCTAATAAGAATTTAAACAAATATTTTGACAATAAATACACAAATCAATGTTTTACATGTTCTTAATGTACAAATAACTATCGCTAAGGTACCGCTTATAAGTCATGCATAGTTAGTAAATTTTGTATAAAATTGAAAATATAATAGATATCAAAAAATTGTTAATTTACATTTAAGACATTTATAAATAACATATCATATTAAAATATGAGCAAAAAATATTCATAATTGTGGCCACAATTTAAAAAATAAGATTTTTTGGGTGCTTATAAGTCACGCATAATAAGCATAACCTATGGGCCAAAAAGTACCATTGAATTCAATGGAAGTTCATGGAGTGATTGGCTATTCGGGGTAGCCATCACTGTCCAGTGGGTGACAATACATTGTAATGGTATTTAAAATGATCATTAGATGTCCTGTCATTGTTTTAGATAACACTTTGTGTTTTTACTCTGCAACCAAAGACTGGCCACACGTTTA